ATGGTTAAGAACCATTGATCTAAAATGAGATCTGAAGAAGGAGTCATAGTTATTCAGAAGAGAGATGAGTATGAGGGAAGAATATATATTCCAGGCAAAGAGAAATGAGAAAGAACATGACCTGTTCCAGGTCTCTAAGAAGTTGAATGTGGCAGAAGTACAGCATGCAAAGGGAGGAACAGGGAGACGAGGCTGGAGATATAAGCAGGATCTAGACCACTGGAGGGCCTTGTGGGCCATGCCAAGGAGTTCAGACTTCATCCTGAGAGCGGTGGAAAGCCCCTGACAGATTTTAAGAAGCTAAGAGATACATCAGGTTGATATTTTAGATGTGATAGCTATAGTGTAGAAAATGGGCTAGGAGTGAGGGAAGAAAATAGGAGGCAGATTGACCAGTTCAAAGGTTGCTAGAGGAAATTAGGTGAAAGATGATGTTGGCCTGGACTTAAGGACTAGGTCTTAAACTTCTTTAAATCCTCAGGCTATACCTGAGGACCTTGTACGTAGACAGCTCCAAAAACCACACAGAGCCTAGGACAGCAAGCAATTCCATACTTCTATCAGGTCAAGTGATGATAGGGGTTCATACCCTGAGCCCACATATTCTTTAAAACTTGGTTCCTTTAGGGGCGCCTGGGTGACTCAGTCGTTAAGCGTCTACCTTTGGCTCGGGTCATGGTTCCAGGGTCCTGGGATCGAGCCCCACATCAGGCTCTCTGCTCGGCGGGAAGCCTGCTTCTCCCTCTGACCTTCCCCCCTCTCATGTGCTCTCTGTCTCTCTCATTCTCTCTGTCTCAGATAAATAAATAAAAAAAATCTTTAAAAAAAAAAAAAAGAATACTCGTTTGGTAGTGATGAAATTAAGTGATATGCACATGAAGTGACCAACACATGCTTGGCTTACAACCAGTAATACTAAGTGTCAGCTCTGATGGCAGTTACCTCCACCATGGAAGGGCAATGCCGTCTCTCCAGGGTAAGGGTGGCTGGGAAGGAATTAAGGATGGAGCTCTGCAAGCCATTTAAGCAAGCCCCAAATCTCTGACCATTGTTTCTCAGGCTTTCAGGGGAGCCCCGGTGCCTCCACGCTCTCCTCCGCGGTGCACCAAATCCTCGACAAAGGGTGTCTTCCTAGCTTGTGAGCAACTGCCTCAGCAGATACATCACAGCATGAAGAAGCAGCCACAATCTGATCCCAACTTTCTCTTCTCAACCTTTTAAGTTTTGTTTTCCCCCAGGTCAGCCCAACCAAACCACATTTTAAAGTGCGGAGGAACAAGGTAAACGAATAGTATATTTCACTGATGCCGAGTAATGCACAGTTCCCTGACTTCTGCCTTGTGCCCCACAGTGGAGCCCCTGCACATGCCCCCCACCCCCCCCACACACACATGAACACAGCTGGCCCCTCAAGGGGCCCATACACCAGTGGGCACACAGACATGCGGGCAGAGGAGGAAAGCCTGACCTCACAGTCTTCTTCAAGATGGGGCCCACACAACACCTCCTCAGTGAGGCTGCCCCCCTGACGATCCTCATCAAGGCAGCAATGGCCATTCCCTGAGTCCTGGGTACCTCCACCCTGGCCCTACCACAGCGGAGAGGACCCAGGTGCTTAGCCATCTGTCTCCAGCCTCAGACCATGTGCTCCTTAGTGACAGGGTCTCTGTGCTCAGACTGCCCCTACCTCTGCCAGCACAGGGGAGCAATGTTATAAGGCTTTTACCTGTATTGATTCATTTAATCCTCACACCAACCCTCTGAGATTAAGTGCTAGTATTTTGCCCATATTACAGATGAAAACACTGAGGCACAGAAAGGTTAAGTAACTTGCTTAGCGTCTCGCAGCTAGAAAATGGTGGAGCCAGGATTTGAATGCAGTCTGACTCATGACCACCCAACAGAATAGGTACGATTATGAAAACTGATCCTTGAGGCAGGCTATTGGTGGGGGTATCAGAGAGGCTCCGGTAGAAGAGGGAACACAAATCAGAAGCTGACACAGTAAGTGTCTCCTCTGGCAGAGCCCGCTGAGACCCATGCCTTCACTTTACAGCTGGGAAAACTGACACCCTGCAAGGCGACAGGGCTAGAGTAAGAGCACTCTGCCCATCAGTGGTGAGGCTAAGGTGTGGAGCCAGGCCTCCATCCGTACTCAACTCCTGCCCCATCACTACTTCTACTTCTCCCTCTGAACCTGCACATCTCAGTCTGGCCCCCTGCCCTGCCCCTATACAGTAGTTTTACCAGAAGCAATGGTGAAGCCACGTTCTACACAGTCCTCTGGTGAGTCTGTTGCTCCTGCCTTAAGAACACTGTGTTGTACACAATACCACTGGGTTAGACCAACGCTGCAAAGATCAACACCCGGCCAGGCGATAAGGATCCAGAGTGGAACATCTTCTCATTATCCAAGTTTGTAAACACTTTGTTCTTCACGGGGTGGGGGGAGGTACTACTCGTGATATGATAAAAAGGGAAGAAAAAGCTGGTTCCAATCATACAATCTACAACCTCACAGTGTTGTGGGTTTTTTTCTGGGGGGTGAGGGGGGTTGGTTTTGTCTTAGCTTAGTGGCTTAAAACAACACAAATTCATTTTCTGACACTTCTGAAAGTCCTAAGTCCCAAATGGGTCTCCCTGGACTGAAATAAAGGTGTAAACAGGGCTGCATTCCTTCTGAAGGCTCTAAGGGAGAATGTTTCCTTGCCTTTCCTGCTTCTAGAGGCCACCCACATTACTTGGTTCATGGCTCCCCTGTCTTCAGAGATGGAAACATCAAGTTGAGCCTCTGTCGGGTCACATCTCTCTGGTTCTCCTTATCCGCCTCCCCCTTCCACTTTAGAGAGCCGCTGTGACTACACGCGCCCCCCCCCCCGATAATCTGAGGTAATCTCCCCATTCTGCTGATCAGCAACATTAATTCTATCTGCAAGGTTAATTCCTCTTTGACAGTTAACCTAACATATTCACAGGTTCCAGAAATTAGGACATTTGTTGGGGGGGTCATTACTCTGCCTACCACACTATAGGATTAATAGTTATTGATTAGGGGTGCCTGGGTGGTGCAGTTGGTTGAGCACCCGACTCTTGGTTTTGGCTCAGGTCGTGATCTCGGGGTCGTGAGATCAAGCCCCACATCAGGCTCTGCACTCAGCACAGAGTCTGCTTGAGACTCTCTCTCCCTCTGTCCTTCTCCCCCTCTTCTCTCTAAAATAAATAAATCTTTTCTTAAAGTTATTGATTAGACCCTAATGCAAGATTTTTAAAAATTATTTACCCCCTGCACATTTTTAGGTTGACATCTAGCATTTTTCATAGTTGCAAAAGACGTAATTTTTTGCATCTTGTAAATCTCATTATTTACATCACTTTTTAAAATATCCAAGTGAACATTAATGTGACGATGATATAACCATCATCCATTTAACATGTTTTTTCAACACATGCACTATATTCATTTTATACCAAATTACTCTGCACTCACTGTTACTGCCCAAAAGTTATTCCGCTGTTTCAATTCTGCTCCTAGACCTAAGATGTGCACACTCCACTGCCCACTCCATTCTGGATGAAAAAGACCAGAAACAAAAGGGGATGGCTATGTGTTTTATTGTGTATAAAATATACCTCAATTTTTAAAAGGGCAGGGGATTATTAGATTAGATCACTGAACAATCCAAGAGTCTGTCCAGAGGCAGAGACAAAGGCAGGCTCTATTGAGAGGCAGGCTCTGCAGGACCAAAGGCAGGGCGCCTCACACCCCCAACCTGCCTGTACCATGTCCCCTTCACCCTCACCAATACCCTGCACCACACTGTTACCAGAAGCAACTCCCACTCATGTGCTGGCCACAGCTTAAATCCAATCTCCCAAAAGAGCCCTTTCCAGATCGCCTCATCCATCCAGACTGAGTCCCCCTGATAGTGTTTATCATGTTCCCTTCCTTCAAAGGACTTACCACAATTTGTGCACAGACATTACTGTGTGCTTATTTGACGAGCATCTGTCTTCACCCCTAGACCACAAACTGCATGACAGCAGCCACTGCTCCTGTCACAATCACTGTGCCCAACAAAGTGCTGGGCATATAACAGGCACTCAGACATTCGGGTTGAATTGAATGAATAAATGATGACCAACTTAGCCTCCTTTACCTCCTGGTAAAGGAGGTGGTCATTCTGGATAAGGGGAATAGGGAGAACTGTGCTTTTAAAAGAAGAAGAAAAGAAAAATCCTTCGTATCACCTGCAACTTCCAGCACTTTACTGAAATAGTAAGGCCCTTAATGACAAGAAATAGTCTGTCCTGTGTCTGGGTTTAACCCAGGGCTTTGGAGGCCTCCAGAGTGGGCCACACCCTCAACCATCTCCCCTACTGAAGCATGTCGATGCTGCATCGTGTCCCCACAGTAAAGACACACATCTTTGGGTGAAGCAGTGTCTTCGGCTCCTCTTTTCAAGGCTCCAGATTGCCGAGGATGAGGGCAGGGCAGCAAAAGGAGGAAAAGGCAGCCGCACACCCCTGCTGAGGCTCAGACCTGGTGCTTGGCACCTCCATCTCTGAGCATGAGCGCTCAGAGAAACTCGGCTGACTAATGTTGAAACAGGAAAAATTTTTAACAGCCTCACCATCCGCACTGAGAATCCCTGAGATGAGATGATGACTGGGAATAAGTGGGGTCAACCAGGCTTTTAGTTCTTCCTTCACCCAGAGTTTGAACCAACATGAGATAAAGACTTTGCGCTCGGGGCCCAAGCTCATTCAGAGGTATCATGGCTTCGCGGTTAAGGGCATGGGTGCCACAGTCAGGCAGGCATGAGTTTGAGGGTCGTTCACCCACCAACATGCCATGTGATGCAAGGCAAGTCACCTAACCTATTTGGAGCTTTAGTTTCCTCTCCAGGTACCAAATGAGTTGTTGCGAGGGTTCAGTGAAATGAGGCTGTAGAACAGTGTCCCTGAGTGTGGGATGAGCTGTGAGCTGGGGCTGAGTTTACCTGGACATTCTCTTCGGTCACCTCAATTTCTGCCGTATAGATGTAGTCAATCAGCTTATTCAGCGTCCTGCCATCCACATCCTTGATTTCTATCTTCTTGGCTTTACTCTCAGACATGTCACCTACAGTCCAAAACAAAACCAAAATGGACACAAACTTGGTGCTTAACTTTCACAGAGAAAGTTGCCCTGTCTTAGCAACATAAAAGCACCAGCAGGCAGCAGAAAGGATTCGGGCGCAGAGGAGTATAAAACAGCCGACATCTGGGTCACACCAACTTTGGATCTGTGATCACCCGCAAACCAGTCTGAAACATTCCCCACTCTGTCACCCATTTCCATTTTGAAGCACATCCGTGTGTAGTAACTCATTCAACTAACATTTACTGTAAGCTTATATACACAGGACCAGGAAAAGTAAACAAGAGATGCACCTGTCCTCAAGGAGAACATGGTCTAGCACAGCAGATATATAAAAATATATGAGATGATCTGAGCTTAATAGAGATATATACAAAGTACCAGTATAACAACAACAATACAAAGTAACATTTACTGAGTACTAACTGTGACTAAGCACTATGCGAAGCACTTGAAAGTGGTGCCTCCAAAAACAGACACATAGATCAATGGAACAGAATAGAGAGCCCAGAAATGGACCCTCAACTCTACGGTCAACTAATCTTCGACAAAGCAGGA